AGAGCCCAGGCTGAAAACTTACCAGCCCTTGCCGAGGCGATTGCTCCGGAGGGGCCAACCCAAGCCTTTGGGGAGCAGGGCAGGCCTCCCCACAGCACAGGGCTTGCCAGCTCTGAACCAGGGCTGCCAGGCCAACGGCCTGCTCTCGCAAACAGCCCTCCTCTGCCTGCTGGCACTGCCACCCCCAGGGACGGCCCCAAGGGGCTGCAAGCCCAAACAGGCAGCCGCCTTTCTCCCAGCCACAGCCTAACAAGCCAGAGGGACAACAAGACACACACACAGAGCAGCTGACAGGAAAGGCCGGGTCTAAAGAGAGGCTTAGCGAGCTGGCAGTGAGGAGGGGAGGGACTGAACGCCATGGCAGGGTCAATGCCTTGTGCCTGACAAAAATGCAAAGACCAGACCAGTTTGCCAGGGCTGTGAGGAACTGGAGACCCCATTACACAACATACCGCAAGCCACAACACACGAATGCATTGGGTTGACCTCATTGTTGACAAGCACATCTACATTTCGGCAACATCTAGCAAATGCTCTGACACAAAGAACCAACATTAATGCATTTTTCCTCTATTACTCGCACTTAAAAGTTGCCTCCAGTGTCACGAGTACACGTCCTCCAGAAAAGGACATGAAAAGTGAGCGTTGCGGGAAGGGAAACACACCCCACCTCATTATTGGCGAGGTCGTGGCACACAAGAGCCGCCTGCTGCAAAATGCCGTCACGCGCAAAGGCTGTCCCGCCCCTTGGGCACCCGCATAAAAGCCGGCCCAGCGCCTCTCTCCCTCACACCCTTCTCCTGACGCCTTCTCCTCCGCGCTCAACAAGGTGAGCCTCAACCCCCTTCCCCTCCTTCTCCTGGCCTGCCTGGCCCGGCTCTTCCAGCACGCTCTGCTGGCCCCAGCCTCAGCAGCCCTCACGCCTCCCCGCAGCCACGCTCCCCACAGCCCCACACCACGCCTCCCCACTCCCTCGCCCTCCTGCACCACCGCCCCTCCGCTTTCTCACCCCCCTCTCTTCCAGGGCCCCTCCACACCACAGCCATGGCCTGCTCCGACCTCTGCCGCCCCTGCGGACCCACCCCGCTGGCTAACAGCTGCAACGAGCCCTGTGTCAGGCAGTGCGAGGACTCCCGCGTCGTCATCCAGCCTTCCACCGTGGTGGTCACCCTGCCAGGACCCATCCTCAGCTCCTTCCCCCAGAGCACCGCCGTCGGATCCTCCTCATCGGCTGCCGTGGGCAACGTCCTCAGCTCCCAGGGAGTGCCCGTCTCCTCCGGAGGCTTCGGCTACGGCTACGGCTACGGCTTGGGCGGCCTGGGCTGCTTCGGTGCCAGAAGGGGCTGCTACCCCTGCTAAGGGCCCTTGACACACGAGCTCAACATCAACGGCTCCTCCTCTCTATGCAATAAATAAGGAAGCAAGGATGGGGTAGCTGTGGTTTCCTGGAAACTTGACCCATGTGCCTCCTCCTGTTCTCCAACTGTCTTCTTTGCATCGCCACTCCTGCTATGTCCAATATTCTCCGCTGCAAACACCTTCTCAGCAGAGAAAGGCCATCAAGCCTCTGGTGGGATGCTCCCACTGCAGAACAGGAACAGCTGGGTGATCTACTGCATGCAAGGGACCTTGGCTGATGGTCGCCGTACTTCTCCATCAGACCAGCTCCCTTCCACTCGGCGATCCTGCATTCTCCCTGGTTTTTTCTCTCAATAAAATTCTCCTGCATCCCCGCTTGAAATTCCTCCACTTCCTTTCTTCTCCCAAGGCTCTTCCAACCTCACCCAGCACAAAGACAGGGCTCAGGAACCCACTGGGCTGAGTGGAAATGGGCTGCAAGACCTCACCTATCGAGTATGACCTTAGCAACTACAACAACACACACCACCATAAAACAAATTATATGGAAGTGCCTCTTAAAATCACCAAGTCCAACCGTTAATCTAATGCTACCAAGTCCAGCACTAATACACATCCCTGAACAACACATCGACACAGCATTTAAATAACTCCAGGGATGGTGACTCAACTAATTCTAAAGGCAGCCAGTTCCAATGCCTCGTAACTTTTCAGTGAAGAAATGTTTCCTAATATCCAATCTAACCCTCCCCTGGCACAACGTGAGGCCTTTTCCTTTCATCGTGTCACTTGTTACTGGATCGACACTCCCACCCAACTAGCTGATGTCTGCAATGTTACTGAGGGTGCACTTTATCCCCTCCTCCAGATCACTGATAAAGCTATTCAAGAAAATTGGCTCAAACTCTCAGCCACGGGCAACTCCACTTGTGACTGGCCACCAACTGGATTTAACTCCATTCACCACAACTCTTAGGGCACAAACATCGAGCCGTTCTCTACCAAGCAAACAGCATGTCAGTCCAAGCCATGAGCATCTAGTTTCTCCAGGAGAATGATGTAGGAAACAGCATCAAGTGCTTTACTAACTTGCAGGGAAAGAACACCCAACGCCTCTCCTCTCCTCTCACTGAAGGGGATCAGTATAGTCAAGCAGGACCTGCCTTTCATAAAACCATGCTGACCGAGCCTGATCACCTGGTTGACCTGTAGGTGCCGAGTGAAGGCTCTCGAGATGATCTGCTCCATATCTTTGCCTGGCACTGAGGTCACACTCACAGGACTGTAGTTCCCCACATCCTCGATCCAGCCTTTCTTGCACATGAGCCTCACTTTTGCTAATCTCCAGTCAGCTGGGACCTACCCGGTTAGCCAAGGAGTGCTGAGAAGTGCTTGAAAGTGGCTTGCAGAGCACATCCAACACCTCCTTCAATGCCCATGGGTGGATCATTTTGTTCCCACACACTTGTGCATGTCCAAGCGCTCTAGCAGGTCGCTAACCATCTCCGTTGAACTATGAGGGCTTCATTCTGCTCCCCACTGACCCACTCCCTTGCTCATCACAACTCTGGCCATCACAGCAAAGAGAAACACGGCAAAAAGAATCACTGAGAGTGCAAGCAACCTCCGGAGCTCAACGTCTCCATCCCAACCTCCTCAAGCATGGCCAGATCGAGCACGATGTCCATAAACACGTCCACACAGGTTTTCAGTGTCTCCAGGCATGGGAATTCAGCACATCTTTGCACAACCAGTTTCACTCTTTGACCACTCTCACACCAAAAAAGGGTTGCCTTCCCTTCCAAGGAAATGGCACATCTTTTCAGCCTTCTCCATTCACCTTTGCACTGTCCATGGGCACCCATACGAGGATTCTCACTCCTCTGCCCTTCTGCCCTCCCACCTGCGATTTCGACACACTGATGACATCTTCCCAGCATGGCCTTGACTCATGCCTGAAAACCCGCCAAGATCATTTAGCTTCCCCTCATAGTAAAGATGCTCTACTACTCTCAGCATCTGGGTGGCCCAGCACTTAACTTATTCCACTAAGTCCATGTCCTTCTTCCATGGGGGCGCCCTCAATGGACACAGGACTCCACATGGGACCTCACCAGCCCTGCAGAGAGTACAGGATCACCTCCCCAACCTCCTGCCAACCATCTTCCCAATGACACCCTGGAGACACTTGTCCCCTTCAGACATGACAGCACAATGATACCTTGCAGTCAGCTCGTTCTCCCAAGCAGCAACACAAAGCAGGGTTCAGAAAAGCTGCTTTCCAGCCTTTCTACCCCCAGCATGTCCTGCTGGGCGTGATGACACTCTAGGTGCACAAATTGTTCCTCATATCCAATGCAAAGCTCCCTGGACATAACTGGAGGCTGTTTCCTCCTCTATCTCTCGTTACTAGAAATAAGAGACTGACAGGCACCTACATACAACCTTCATTCAAGCAGTTGTACAGAGAAATAACATCCCTGCACAACTTTCTTTTTCGGGAAACTAAAGCAGCCAAGTTGCTTGAAGCATTCCCCATTCATTGTTCTTCTCTAGACTCTTCACCAGCTTTGTTGCTCTTTTTTGGACACATGACACCAGAGCCCAGGCTGAAAACTTACCAGCCCTTGCCGAGGCGATTGCTCCGGAGGGGCCAACCCAAGCCTTTGGGGAGCAGGGCAGGCCTCCCCACAGCACAGGGCTTGCCAGCTCTGAACCAGGGCTGCCAGGCCAACGGCCTGCTCTCGCAAACAGCCCTCCTCTGCCTGCTGGCACTGCCACCCCCAGGGACAGCCCCAAGGGGCTGCAAGCCCAAACAGGCAGCCGCCTTCCTCCCAGCCACAGCCTAACAAGCCAGAGGGGCAACAGGACACACACAGAGCAGATGACAGGAAAGGCCGGGTCTAAAGAGAGGCTTAGTGAGCTGGCAGTGAGGAGGGGAGGGACTGAACGCCATGTCAGGGTCAATGTCTTGTGCCTGACAAAAATGCAAAGACCAGACCAGTTTGCCAGGGCTGTGAGGAACTGGAGACCCCATTACACAACATACCGCAAGCCACAACACATGAATGCATTGGGTTGACCTCATTGTTGACAAGCACATCTACATTTCGGCAACATCTAGCAAATGCTCTGACACAAAGAACCAACATTAATGCAATTTTCCTCTATTACTCGCACTTAAAAGTTGCCTCCAGTGTCACGAGTACACGTCCTCCAGAAAAGGACATGAAAAGTGAGCGTTGCGGGAAGGGAAACACACCCCACCTCATTATTGGCGAGGTCGTGGCACACAAGAGCCGCCTGCTGCAAAATGCCGTCACGCGCAAAGGCTGTCCCGCCCCTTGGGCACCCGCATAAAAGCCGGCCCAGCGCCTCTCTCCCTCACACCCTTCTCCTGACGCCTTCTCCTCCGCGCTCAACAAGGTGAGCCTCAACCCCCTTCCCCTCCTTCTCCTGGCCTGCCTGGCCCGGCTCTTCCAGCACGCTCTGCTGGCCCCAGCCTCAGCAGCCCTCACGCCTCCCCGCAGCCACGCTCCCCACAGCCCCACACCACGCCTCCCCACTCCCTCGCCCTCCTGCACCACCGCCCCTCCGCTTTCTCACCCCCCTCTCTTCCAGGGCCCCTCCACACCACAGCCATGGCCTGCTCCGACCTCTGCCGCCCCTGCGGACCCACCCCGCTGGCTAACAGCTGCAACGAGCCCTGTGTCAGGCAGTGCGAGGACTCCCGCGTCGTCATCCAGCCTTCCACCGTGGTGGTCACCCTGCCAGGACCCATCCTCAGCTCCTTCCCCCAGAGCACCGCCGTCGGATCCTCCTCATCGGCTGCCGTGGGCAACGTCCTCAGCTCCCAGGGAGTGCCCGTCTCCTCCGGAGGCTTCGGCTTCGGCTACGGCTTGGGCGGCCTGGGCTGCTTCGGCGCCGGGAGAGGCTGCTACCCCTGCTAAGGGCCCCTGACACACGAGCTCAACATCAACGGCTCCTCCTCTCTATGCATTAAATAAGGAAGCAAGGATGGGGTAGCCACGGTTTCCTGGAAACATCACCCATGTTCCTCCTCCTGTTCTCCAACTGTCTTCTTTGCATCGCCACTCCTGCTATGTCCAATATTCTCCGCTGCAAACACCTTCTCAGCAGAGAAAGGCCATCAAGGACTCTGGTGGGATGCTCCCACTGCAGAACAGGAACAGCTGGGTGATCTACTGCATGCAAGGGACCTTGGCTGATGGTCGCCGTACTTCTCCATCAGACCAGCTCCCTTCCACTCGGCGATCCTGCATTCTCCCTGGTTTTTTCTCTCAATAAAACTCTCCTGCATCCCAGCTTGAAATGCCTCCACTTCCTTTCTTCTCCCAAGGCTCTTCCAACCTCACCCAACACAAAGACAGGGCTCAGGAACCCACTGGGCTGAGTGGAAATGGGCTGCAAGGCCTCACCTATCGAGTATGTCCTTAGCAACAACAACAACACACACCACCATAAAACAATTTAGATGGAAGTGTCTCTTAAGATCATCGAGTCCAAACTCGTTAATCTAATGATACCAAGTCCACCACTAATCCACATCCCTGAACAACACATTGACACAGCATTTAAATAACTCCAGGGATGGTGACTCAACTAATTATAAAGGCACCCAGTTCCAATGCCTCGCAAACTTTTCAGTGGAGAAATGTTTCCTACTATCCAATCTAACCCTCCCCTGGCACAACGTGAGGCCGTTTCCTTTCATCGTATCACTTGTTACTGGATCGACACTCCCACCCAACTAGTTGATGTCTGCAATGTTACTGAGGGTGCACTTTATCCCCTCCTCCAGATCACTGATAAAGCTATTCAAGAAAATTGGCTCAAACTCTCAGCCACGGCCAACACCACTTGTGACTGGCCACCAACTGGATTTAACTCCATTCACCACAACTCTTAGGGCACAAATATGCAGCCGGTTCTCTACCAAGCAAACAATATGTCAGTCCAAGCCATGAGCAGCTAGTTTCTCCAGGAGAATGATGTAGGAAACAGCATCAAGTGCTTTACTAACTTGCAGGGAAAGAACGTCCAACGCCTCTCCTCTCAGTGACGGAGATCAGGATAGTCAAGCTGGACCTGCCTTTCATAAAACCATGCTGACCGAGCCTGATCACCTGGTTGACCTGTAGGTGCCGAGTGAAGGCTCTCGAGATGATCTGCTCCATATCTTTGCCTGGCACTGAGGTCACACTCACAGGACCGTAGTTCCCCACATCCTCAATCCAGCATTTCTTGCACATGAGCCTCACTTTTGCTAATCTCCAGTCAGCTGGGACCTACCCGGTTAGCCAAGGAGTGCTGAGAAGTGCTTGAAAGTGGCTTGCAGAGCACATCCAACACCTCCTTCAATGCCCGTGGGTGGATCATTTTGTTCCCATAGACTTGTGCATGTCCAAGCACTCTAGCAGGTCGCTAACCATCTCCGTTGAACTATGAGGGCTTCATTCTGCTCCCCACTGACCCACTCCCTTGCTCATCACAACTCTGGCCATCACAGCAAAGAGAAACACGGCAAAAAGAATCACTGAGAGTGCAAGCAACCTCCAGAGCTCAACGTCTCCATCCCAACCTGCTCAAGCATGGCCAGATCGAGCACGATGTCCATAAACACGTCCACACAGGTTTTCAGTGTCTCCAAGGATGGGAATTCAGCACATCTTTGCACAACCAGTTTCACTCTTTGACCACTCTCACACCAAAAAAGGGTTGCCTTCCCTTCCAAGGAAATGGCACATCTTTTCAGCCTTCTCCATTCACCTTTGCACTGTCCATGGGCACCCATACGAGGATTCTCACTCCTCTGCCCTTCTGCCCTCCCACCTGCGATTTCGACACACTGATGACATCTTCCCAGCATGGCCTTGACTCATGCCTGAAAACCCGCCAAGATCATTTAGCTTCCCCTCATAGTAAAGATGCTCTACTACTCTCAGCATCTGGGTGGCCCAGCACTTACCTTATTCCAATAAGTCCATGTCCTTCTTCCATGGGGGAGCCCTCAATGGACACAGGACTCCCCATGGGACCTCACCAGCCCTGCAGAGAGTACAGGATCACCTCCCCAACCTCCTGCCAACCATCTTCCCAATGACACCCTGGAGACACTTGCCCTCTTCGGACATGACATCACAATGATACCTTGCAGTCAGCTCGTTCTCCCAAGCAGCAACACAAAGCAGGGTTCAGAAAAGCTGCTTTCTAGCCTTTCTACCCCCAACATGTCCTGCTGCACGCGATGACACTCTAGGTGCACAAATTGTTCCTCATATCCAATGCAAAATTCCCTGGACACAACAGGAGGCTGTTTCCTCCTCTATCTCTCGTTACTAGAAATAAGAGACTGACAGGCACCTCCGTACAACCTTCATTCAAGCAGTTGTACAGAGAAATAACATCCATGCACAACTTTCTTTTTCGGGAAACTAAAGCAGCCAAGTTGCTTGAAGCATTCCCCATTCATTGTTCTTCTCTAGACTCTTCACCAGCTTTGTTGCTCTTTTTTGGACACATGACACCAGAGCCCAGGCTGAAAACTTACCAGCCCTTGCCGAGGCGATTGCTCCGGAGGGGCCAACCCAAGCCTTTGGGGAGCAGGGCAGGCCTCCCCACAGCACAGGGCTTGCCAGCTCTGAACCAGGGCTGCCAGGCCAACGGCCTGCTCTCGCAAACAGCCCTCCTCTGCCTGCTGGCACTGCCACCCCCAGGGACAGCCCCAAGGGGCTGCAAGCCCAAACAGGCAGCCGCCTTCCTCCCAGCCACAGCCTAACAAGCCAGAGGGGCAACAGGACACACACAGAGCAGATGACAGGAAAGGCCGGGTCTAAAGAGAGGCTTAGTGAGCTGGCAGTGAGGAGGGGAGGGACTGAACGCCATGGCAGGGTCAATGCCTTGTGCCTGACAAAAATGCAAAGACCAGACCAGTTTGCCAGGGCTGTGAGGAACTGGAGACCCCATTACACAACATACCGCAAGCCACAACACACGAATGCATTGGGTTGACCTCATTGTTGACAAGCACATCTACATTTCGGCAACATCTAGCAAATGCTCTGACACAAAGAACCAACATTAATGCAATTTTCCTCTATTACTCGCACTTAAAAGTTGCCTCCAGTGTCACGAGTACACGTCCTCCAGAAAAGGACATCAAAAGTGAGCGTTTTGGGAAGGGAAACACACCCCACCTCATCATTGGCGAGGTCGTGGCACACAAGAGCCGCCTGCTGCAAAATGCCGTCACGCGCAAAGGCTGTCCCGCCCCTTGGGCACCCGCATAAAAGCCGGCCCAGCGCCTCTCTCCCTCACACCCTTCTCCTGACGCCTTCTCCTCCGCGCTCAACAAGGTGAGCCTCAACCCCCTTCCCCTCCTTCTCCTGGCCTGCCTGGCCCGGCTCTTCCAGCACGCTCTGCTGGCCCCAGCCTCAGCAGCCCTCACGCCTCCCCGCAGCCACGCTCCCCACAGCCCCACACCACGCCTCCCCACTCCCTCGCCCTCCTGCACCACCGCCCCTCCGCTTTCTCACCCCCCTCTCTTCCAGGGCCCCTCCACACCACAGCCATGGCCTGCTCCGACCTCTGCCGCCCCTGCGGACCCACCCCGCTGGCTAACAGCTGCAACGAGCCCTGTGTCAGGCAGTGCGAGGACTCCCGCGTCGTCATCCAGCCTCCCGCCGTGCTCGTCACCCTGCCAGGACCCATCCTCAGCTCCTTCCCCCAGAGCACCGCCGTCGGATCCTCCTCATCGGCTGCCGTGGGCAACGTCCTCAGCTCCCAGGGAGTGCCCGTCTCCTCCGGAGGCTTCGGCTTCGGCTACGGCTACGGCTTGGGCGGCCTGGGCTGCTTCGGCGCCGGAAGGGGCTGCTACCCCTGCTAAGGGCCCTCACCACCACCCCTGACACCAACCACCCACACCCTGGAAGCCACGGCATCGATTGAGGACGCAGCTCCGGGCTGTTGCTGGCACATGGGCTCACCCTCCATGGCTCCTCCTCTCAAGGCACTATGCAAAGAAACAGGGAAGGGGGAGTCCCGGCTGCCTGGAAACTTGGCCCACGTACCTTCTCCTTTTCTCCAACTGTCTTCTTTGCATCGCCCCTTCTGCTATGTCTGCTGCTCTCCGCTGCAAACACCTTCTCACAAGCCAAAGCCCACTTGGAGCTCCAGTGAGCTACTCCTACTGCAGGGCAGGAAGACCTCAGAGATCTGGCAACATCAACTGCACAAAAGGGACCTCGGCTTGTGGTCGCTGTACTTCCACCACAGATCGGCTCTCTTCCACTCGGCACTCCTGCCTTTTCCCTGTGTTTTTCCCTCAATAAAGTTCTCCTGCAAAACACCCAAACAAGCCTCCTCTTTCTTTCTTCTCCGAAGGCTCTTCCAACCTCACCCACCTAAAGCCAGGGCTCAACAGGCCATCAGAATGAGTAGAAAAGCGCTACACAACAACTCTTAGCGAGGATCTCTCCAGCAAGGACACCAACACAGAGTGGAAGCGGGGGGCTTCCGCCCATGACACAAGCCCTTCACTTGCCTGCAGAAAGGCTCGGACATGCTATGCACTTCTAGACATGCCCTTAACATAGGTTCCCCATGGCTACACACACCTGACCAACCCTTTTCCCCAGCACAACTCTCTGGTCACCACAACAAGCACAATCAAAGCAAAAAGAATCACTGGGTGCCAAGCTACCTCTGAAGATCATCTGCTTCAACCCAAGCGGCTCAAGCATGGCCAGCTCAAGCAGGCTGTCAACAAACATGTCCAGTCAAGTTTTCAGTATCTCCAGGGATGGCACTGTAGCACTTCTTTGCAGAACAAGTTTCACTCTTTGACCACTCTCACACTGAAAAAGGATTGCCACTCTTCCACAGGTACGGCAGGTCATTTCAGATTTCTCCATTCTCCCTTGTCCTGGTCATGCACACCCATGAGAAGAGTCTTACTGCCGTTTCCACATGCCCTCCCAGTTGGGATTTAGACACACTGATGACATCTCCCCGGCACAGCATTGCCTCCCAGATGAAAAAAGCTCTCAGCTCTCTCAGTTTCCCTCATAGCAAAGATGCTCCAGTCCCTTCAGAGTCTCAATGGCCCTGAATTCACCTCAGTCCTCTAAGTCCATGTCCTTCTTCAACAGGGGATACCTCAATGGACACAGGACTCCATGTGAGGTCTCATCAGCCCTGCAGGGACTACAGGATCACCTCCACAAACCTCCTGGCAACGCTCTTCCCAACGCCGCCCTGGAGATACTTGGCCTCTTTTGCCGTAATGGCGCAGTGATGCCTCGCAGTCAGGTCGTTCTCCACCAGCAACACAAAGCAGGGTTCAGGAAAGCTGCTTTCCAGCCTCTCTACCCCCAGCATGTCCAGATGCCCTGTGCTATTCACGCCACAGATGCAGGCCTTTGCATTTCTGCCTCTTGAACTCCCAGAGATTCCCCTCTGCCTCATTCTCCAGACTCCCTCAGAATGGCAGCACGACCATCCGTTGGCTTAGGTTCTCTTCCAGATTTTGCATCATCTGACAACTTCCTTAGGCAGCACTTCGTCCCACTCCCCACGCCACTGATGAGGATGTTGAACAGTGTTGGCCCCATGGATGCCAGTCCTGGGCTACGCCATTTGAGACTTGCCTGCATCTGGACTTTGGGACACTCATCACAAGACACTGCGCCCAGCCCTTCAGCCACTTTCGCAACCAATACTTTCTCAGTGTGTTTAGGAACATGCAAGGGGGGAAAGCATCAAAGCTTAACAAAAAAAGGCGAGGTAAACACCAGCCACGGCTCTCATCCTTGTCCACCAAGAGAGTCACTTCAATATAGAGGACACGGAGGTCGGTCAACTGTGATTTCCCCTTTGTAAATCCACACTGACAGATCCGCACCAGCTTCTTGTCCTTCCTGGGACTGACAGTGCTTTCTGCGAGGATTTCCAACATCACCTGCCACAGGAGCAAGGCCAGTCTCAACAGTTTCTACTTTCCCAAATCTTCCATCCTCGTCTGCTTCAATAGATGAGGCCTATAAGCTCTCTTCCAGCCATCAGGAACTGCTCAAAAGGGAAGCCGTCTTTCTCACAGCCACAGCCTTACAAGACCGAGGGGCAGGCAACCTCGTGGATCTCAGCCAGCGGGGAAGGCCAGGCCTAAAGACACGCTTAGCAAGCTGGCATAAGGCGGGGAGGGACGGAACGTCATGGTAGGGTCAGCCCCTCGTGTCTGGCAAATCTACAAATCCCAAACCAGTCTGCCAGGGCTGCGAGGAAATGGAGACCCCTCTTCACAACACACCCAAAGCCACAACACGAATGCATCCCGATGACCTCACTGTTGACAAGCACATCTACATTTTGGCAACATCTACCAAACGCTCTGACAAAAAGAACCAACATTAATGCATTTTTCCTCTATTACTCACACTTAAAAGTTGCCGCCACGGTCAGAAGTACACGTGCTCCAGAAAAGGACATGAAATGGAGCGTTTTGGGAAGGGAAACACACCCCACATCATTATTGGCGAGGTCGTGGCACACAAGAGCCGCCTGCTGCAAAATGCCTTCACACGCAAAGGCTGTCCCGCCCCTTGGGCACCCGCATAAAAGCCGGCCCAGCGCCTCTCTCCCTCACACCCTTCTCCTGACGCCTTCTCCTCCGCGCTCAACAAGGTGAGCCTCAACCCCCTTCCCCTCCTTCTCCTGGCCTGCCTGGCCCGGCTCTTCCAGCACGCTCTGCTGGCCCCAGCCTCAGCAGCCCTCACGCCTCCCCGCAGCCACGCTCCCCACAGCCCCACACCACGCCTCCCCACTCCCTCGCCCTCCTGCACCACCGCCCCTCCGCTTTCTCACCCCCCTCTCTTCCAGGGCCCCTCCACACCACAGCCATGGCCTGCTCCGACCTCTGCCGCCCCTGCGGACCCACCCCGCTGGCTAACAGCTGCAACGAGCCCTGTGTCAGGCAGTGCGAGGACTCCCGCGTCGTCATCCAGCCTTCCACCGTGGTGGTCACCCTGCCAGGACCCATCCTCAGCTCCTTCCCCCAGAGCACCGCCGTCGGATCCTCCTCATCGGCTGCCGTGGGCAACATCCTCAGCTCCCAGGGAGTGCCCGTCTCCTCCGGAGGCTTCGGCTTCGGCTACGGCTACGGCTTGGGCGGCCTGGGCTGCTTCGGTGCCAGACGGGGCTTCTATCCCTGCTAAGGGCCCTCACCACCACCCCTGACACCAACCACCCACACCCTGCAAGCCACGGCATCGATTGAGGACGCAGCTCCGGGCTGTTGCCGGCACATGGGCTCGCCATCCACGGCTCCTCCTCTCTAAGCACCAAACATGGAAGCAGTGAAGGGGCAGCCCAGGTTTCCTGGAAACATTGCCCAAGTACCTCCTCTTTTTCTCCAACTGTCTTCTTTGCATCCGCCTTCCTGCTATGTCCACGACTCTCTGCCACAGGCACCTTCTACAAAGCCAAAGCTCACTGGGGACCTCAGGCGGGCTGCTCCAACTGTAGGGTAGGAAGGCTGTGGTGCTCTGGAAATGTCTACTGCCCCGAAGGTACCTCTGCTGATGGTCACCCTATTGCACCTCAGACGACCTTGCTTTCCATTTTTTTTCCTTCAATAAAGTTCTGCATCCCAGTCAATGACTATACCACATCTTTTCTTCTCCGAAATCTCTTTCAACTTTACCCAGCACAAAGCCAGGGCTCAACTGCCATTTCTGTAGTGGGTGGAAAAGGGATACAAGACCTCTCCTCGAAAATACGTCACCACCAACACAGACTGGACCTGGGGGGCTTCCAGATTGTGGCACAAGCCCATTCTTGCACAAACTAAGGGGTAGATAGCACAACACTCCCCTACACACACCTCTGATGAGGTCCTTCCTGTGCCAACACACACTTGACTGTCTTCCACAGCATTACTCTCCAGCTCTCCCAGCAAACAGAATCACGAGATCATTACTTTGGCAGGAACCTCTGGAGAGCAGGTGCTTCTACTCCCTCTGCGCAAGCAGGGATAGCTGCAGCAGGTTGTCCGGGTTCCACGGCCGCTCACATTTTCAGTATCTCCCAGGATGGAGCCTCTTCCACTCCTTGACCACGCTCACACTGAGAAAGACTTGCTGCTTTTGCCCGTGGAATTCCATCCTTTCTCACTTGTGCCCAAGGCCTCTTGTCCTGCAAACACGCGCTACTGAGGAGAGCCCGGCTCCCTTCACCTCATTCCCTGGCTTCAAGGATTTATACACATTTAAGAATGAGTGTAAAGGGGAGGCAGTGGATGTACAGTTCTCAATTTTAGTAAGGTTTCCGATTCTGTCCCTCTCGGAATACGCCTACACAATTGTTCCAACTGTGATGTGAGAACGTACATGCAGCGATGGGTAAAGAACTGGCTGAACAGCAGCGCTCAAAGAGTTGTAGGGAATGGGGATACAGCTGACACCTTCTGGAGCAGGCAGGATAGATTAGAGCACTGGGCAATGATTAACGGCCAGAAATTGAAGAAGAAGAAATGGCAGATTGTGCACCTAGGAGGGAGAAATCTCTCTACGCACGTAACAGACTGGGAGAGGAGTGGCTGGAGAGCAGCCCTGCAGAAAGGGATCTGGGGGTGCTGGCTGACAGCAGGCTCCCTACGAGTCAGCAGCATAGCCTGGCAGCCAAGGGGGCAAACCGCATCCTGGGGTGCAGCCAACACAGTACAACCAGCCGGTCACAGGAGGGGATTAGCCCGCTGGATTCCCCGCTGCTGCAGCCTCACCTTGAGTATCGTGGGCAGAATTGGATCCCTCCAATTTAAAAAAGGATGTTAAAGTTCTTGAAAGCAGCCAGAGCAGGGCAAGGAAGCTGATGGATGACAAGGCTGGAAGGCAAGTCCTATAAGGAGCAGCAAAAGACTCTGTGTTCATCTAGCCTGGAGAAAAGGAGGCTGAGGGGCAGCCTCATTGCTCTCTGCTGCTTCCAGAGGACAGGACGTGGAGAGGGAGCTGCTGAGCTCTTCTCCATGAGATCCAGAGACAGGATTCATGGCAATGGGTCAAATGAACCTCCTCAATGGGAGGTTCAGACAGATAGAATGAATTATTTAGTTACAGAGCATGTGGCGAAACACTGAAAGAGGCTTCCTAGAGAGGTGGACGATGCCCCAAGTCTGACAGTGTTTAAGAGGCATTTGGACAAACAATGGCCTTAATTACATGCTCTTCCTCTTCGTCACCCCAGCAGCGAACAGGCAGTTGGACAAGATGATCACTGCACGTCCCTTCCAACTGGACTCTTCTAGTCCAGTCTTGTCTATTATGCTTCGCCAAGCCTTTGGCACGCAAACATCACCTCGAGGTTCTCAGGTGCACAGCCCCACGCAGCACGCACGCCTCCCCTTTCCCCTCCACTGCATCCAATCCCACTCTGGCCCCACAAACACTGCGCAGAGAAATGGCCTCACCCCTCGGCAATCACCCCAAAGTCAGAACCCACCTCCCCTGCCTGCCGTTCCCACTCCCCCTGGGCCTCTCCCCACACTCACCATCTCTCCCACAACTCACCAGCCTCAGCTCCACCGCCAGGCCCTGCCTCAGCACCCTCAGCAGCCAGCCAATCACAAGGCACTTAACAGCCTGCCAATCAGGGGGCAGCTGACAGGCACCAGCTGCTGCAGAAGCCCCTGGAAGCTTCCAGAAGGTGCCTGTCAGGACTCCAAAATCGACATTTCTGGTACAATAAATGGATAATCTTCACCAGACAGCCCCCAAAACAACTGCTGGGAGGGGTGGCTGTGAATGAGGGAATGAATGAGTAGAAATGCTGGCGAAAAACAAACAAAACATCTCAAATGACAGCAGTTAGGGGACTCAGAGGGGTAAGAGGGAGGGAAAATGCCCTCATAAAATAATATCCCCCCCAAAAAAAAACTGATGCAAATAAAGGCATCCACAGACTCTGTCCGTCTTCGCTGTACTGCTGGGTGCCGTAGACACCCATGTAGGGTCCCCTGTCATTGTTCACCCTTGCTGTGGCCCCCAGGCCAACTGCCTGGCACTCCCAGTGACACCACCTTCCCTCATGGTGGGGTTCTCGGGTCAGCCAGAGATGGTCCCGTGTCCCAGTCCCCTCTCGCACCGCCTTGCATGTTTCTCCTGATGCCTTCTCCTCCATGGTCAAAAACATGAGCACCCTTGCCTCCAATTCCCCTCACGAATCACCAAATTCTCATACGTCCCACCAGACACCACGCAGAGAAATGGCCTCACCCCAAGGAAAATCCCCAAGGCCCTGGCTCACCAGCCGCCCCTGCCTGCTCCTCCCACTCCCCCTCTCCTCTCGCCACACTCATGGGCTCTCCGGAAACTCACGTCTCCCTGCACGGTGACCCATGTGCAATCACAGAGTCCTTTAGCATGGAAAAAACCCTTAAGAGCATTGAGTCCAAATGTTAACCTCACACTACTAGTCCGCCACTAACCATGTCCCTAAGTGTCACATCTAAACGTCTATCAAATACCACCCAGGATGGGGACTCCACCATTTCCCTGTGCAACCTTCTCCACGGCTTAATAACACTCTGGGTGCACAAATTGTTCCTCATGTCCAAACCAAAGATCCCCGGTAACAATTGGAGGCTGTTTCCTCTTCTATCACTCATTACTAATAATAAGAGACAGACACGCACCTCCATACAACCTTCATTCAAGTAGCTGTATACAGCAATAACGTCTCCCCTCAGTCTTTGTTTTCTGGAAACAAACCACCCAAAGTTCCTTCAAGCATTCCCCATTTATTCTTCTTTTATAGTCCATTCAGCAGCTTCACTGCTCTAATTTGGATGCATCACGCCAAGGCCCACACTGTAAATTTCCCAGCCCCGGCTCGGGGGAGTGCTCTGGCAGGCCAACCCAAGCCTTTGGGGAGCAGGGCAGGCCTCCCCACAGCACAGGGCTTGCCAGCTCTGAACCAGGGCTGCCAGGCCAACGGCCTGCTCTCGCAAACAGCCCTCCTCTGCTGCTGGCACTGCCACCCCCAGGGACGGCCCCAAGGGGCTGCAAGCCCAAACAGGCAGCCGCCTTTCTCCCAGCCACAGCCTTACAAGCCAGAGGGGCAACAAGACACACACACAGAGCAGATAGCTGAAAGGCCAGGGCTAAAGAGAGGTTTAGCGAGCTGGCGGTGAGGTGGGGAGGGACTGAACGCCATGGCAGGGTCAATGTCTTGTGCCTGACACAACTGCAAAGAACAGACCAGATTTCCAGGGCTGTGAGGAACTGGAGACCCCATTACACAACATACCCAAAGCCACAACACACGAATGCATCCCGATGACCTCACTGTTGAGAAGCACATCTACATTTTGGCAACATCTACCAAATGCTCTGATGAACAAAAGCAACACTAAGGATTTTTCCTCTGTTACTCGCACTTAAAAGTTGCCGCCAGGGTCAGAAGGACACGTCCTCAAGAGAAGGACACGAAACAGAGGTTTGCGGGAATAGAAACACACCCCACCTCATTATTGGCGAGGTCGTGGCACACAAGAGCCGCCTGCTGCAAAATGCCGTCACGCGCAAAGGCTGTCCCGCCCCTTGGGCACCCGCATAAAAGCCGGCCCAGCGCCTCTCTCCCTCACACCCTTCTCCTGACGCCTTCTCCTCCGCGCTCAACAAGGTGAGCCTCAACCCCCTTCCCCTCCTTCTCCTGGCCTGCCTGGCCCGGCTCTTCCAGCACGCTCTGCTGGCCCCAGCCTCAGCAGCCCTCACGCCTCCCCGCAGCCACGCTCCCCACAGCCCCACACCACGCCTCCCCACTCCCTCGCCCTCCTGCACCACCGCCCCTCCGCTTTCTCACCCCCCTCTCTTCCAGGGCCCCTCCACACCACAGCCATGGCCTGCTCCGACCTCTGCCGCCCCTGCGGACCCACCCCGCTGGCTAACAGCTGCAACGAGCCCTGTGTCAGGCAGTGCGAGGACTCCCGCGTCGTCATCCAGCCTCCCGCCGTGCTCGTCACCCTGCCAGGACCCATCCTCAGCTCCTTCCCCCAGAGCACCGCCGTCGGATCCTCCTCATCGGCTGCCGTGGGCAACGTCCTCAGCTCCCAGGGAGTGCCCGTCTCCTCCGGAGGCTTCGGCTTCGGCTACGGCTACGGCTTGGGCGGCCTGGGCTGCTTCGGCGCCAGAAGAGGCTGCTACCCCTGCTAAGGGCCCTCACCACCACCCCTGACACCAACCACCCACACCCTGCAAGCCACGGCATCGATTGAGGACGCAGCTCCGGGCTGTTGCTGGCACATGGGCTCACCCTCCATGGCTCCTCCTCTCAAGGCACCATGAAACGAAACAGGGAAGGGGGAGCCCCGGCTGCCTTGAAACTTGGCCCATGTAACTTCTCCTTTTCTCCAACTGTCTTCTTTCCATCGCCCCTTCTGCTATGTCTGCTGCTCTCCGCTGCAAACACCTTCTCACAAGCCAAAGCCCACCTGGAGCTCCAGTGAGCTACTCCTACTGCAGGGCGGGAAGACCTCAGAGATCTGGCAACATCATCTGCACAAGGGACCTCGGCTTGTGGTCGCTGTACTTCCACCACAGATCGGCTCTCTTCCACTCGGCACTCCTGCCTTTTCCCTGTGTTTTTCCCTCAATAAAGTTCTCCTGCAAACCACCCAAACAAGCCTCCTCTTTCTTTCTTCTCCCAAGGCTCTTCCAACCTCACCCAGCACAAAGCCAGGGCTCTGCAACCCATTGGCATGGGTGGAAAGGGGCTACAAGACCTCACCTATCGAGTATGTCCCCAGCAACAGCAACAATAGACACCAGCTTAGAATCATTCAGGTTGGAAAAGGCTGTTATGATCATCGAGTCCACCTGTTAACCTAACACTACCAAGTCCACCACTAAACCACATCTGTTAACAGCACATCTACACATCATTTATATACCTCCAGGGATGGTGACTCAACAAATTTCCTGGGCAGCATGTTCTAACGCTTGGCAACCTTTTTAATGAACAAATGTTTCCTAATATCCAATCTAATCCTCCCCTGGCACAACATGAGATTGTTTCCTTTCATCCTATCACTTCTTACTTGGGAAAAGAAGCCAACATCCACCTCTCTGTCACCTCCTTTCAGGTAGCTGCAGAGATCCATCAGGGTCCCCTCAGACTCCTGTTCTTCAGAACCACTCCAGGTCCCTCAGTGACTCTTTGTAGGACTCATTCGCTAAGCGCTTCACCAGCTTCCTTGCCCTTCTTTGGACATTCTCCAGCACCTCAATGGCTTCTTTTAGTGAGGGGCCCAAAACTGAACACGGTATTCCAGGGGCGGCCTCATCAGTAACTAAAGAACAGCGGGACGATCCCTTCCCTAGTCCTGCTGGCCACACTGTTCCTGACAGAAGCCAGGACACTATTGGCCTCCTTGGCCACCTGGGCACACTGCTGGCTCATACTCAGACGGTTGTTGACCAAGACCCGCAGGTCCTTTTCCATCAGGCAGCTTTCCAGCCACTCTGCCCCAAGCCTAGAGCATTGCAGGGGGGTTGTTGTGACCCAGTTGCAGGACCCAGCACCGATCCTTGTTGATCCTCATACAATTGGCCTCGGCCCATCGATGCAGCCTGTCCAGATCCCTCTGTCAACCCTTCCTACCCTCAAGCAGATCAACACTCCCACTCAACTTGCTGATGTCTGCAGTGTTACTGAGGGTGCACGCCATCCCCTCCGCCAGATCGCTGATAAAGCTATTCAAGAAAATTGGCCCAAACACACAGCCCTGGGCAACACCACTTGTGACTGGCCACCAACTGGATTTACCTCCATTCACCACAACTCTTAGGGCACAAATATCCAGCTGGTTCTCTACCAAGCAAACAGTATGTCTAATCCAAACCACGAGCAGCTAGTTTCACCAGGAGAATGATCTGGGAAACAGCATCAAAGGCTTTACTAAATTGCAGGTAAAGAACATCCAAAGCCTCTCCTCTTATTGAGGGAGATCAGGATAGTCAAGCAGGACCTGCCTTTCATAAAACCATGCTGACTGAGCTTGATCACCTGGTTGCCCTGTAGGTGCCGAGGGAAGGCACTCAGGTTGATCTGCTCTACAACTTTGCTTGGCACTGTGGTCACACTCACAGGACTCTAGTTCCCCACATCCTCTTTCCAGCCTTTCTTGTACACGAGCCTCAATTCTGCTAATCTCCAGTCAACATGGGTGTAACTGTTTACCCCAGGAGTGCTGAGAAGTGCTTGAAAGTGGCTTGATGATGCACATCTACCAGGCCCCTCAATATGCTTGGACAGATCCAACACAGCCCCATGGACATGTGCGTGTCTAAGTGCTCTAGCAGGTCGCTAACCATCTCCATTGAACAATGAGGGCTTCATTCTGCTCCCCGCTGACCCACTTCCTGCCTCAGCAGTAATCTGGACATCACATCAAAGACAGTCACACCAAAAAGAATCTCACGGTGTGCAAGGATCCTCTGGAGATCATCTACTTCATGCCAACCTGCTCAAGCACAGCCACCTCGAGCACGATGTCCAGCACCACGTCCACACAGGTTTTCAGTATCTCCAAGGATGGGAATTCAGCACATCTTTGCACAACCAGTTTCACTCTTTGACCACTCTCACACCGGAAAAAAGGGTTGCCTTCCCTTCCAAGGAAATGGCACATCTTTGCACCTCTGTCCATTCACCTTTGCACTATCCATGGGCACACGTAAGAAGATTCTCACTCCTCTGTCCATCTGCCCTCCAATCTGGGATTTAGACACACTGATGATATCTCCCTGGCACAGTCTTGAATCCTGCCTGATAAAACTCCCAGCTCTCTCAGCTTCCCTTCATAGCAAAGATGCTCTAGTCCATTCAGCGTCTCGTGAGAGCCCTGCACTCACCTCGTTCCATTAAGTTTACATCCCTCCTCCACAGGGGAGCCCTCAATGGACACAGGACTCCACATGGGACCTCACCATCCCTGAAGAGAGCTCAGGATCACCTCCGCCAACCTCCTCCTAATGCTCTTCCCAACGCCATCCTGGAGATACTTGGCGTTTTTTTGCCAAGACGATGTGATGATACCACAGCATCCAGCTCGTTCTCCCAACCAGCAACACAAAGCAGGGTTCAGTAAAGCTGCTTTCCAGCCTCTCTACCCCTAGCATGCCCTGCTGCCCAGCATTATTCACCACAAAGATGCAGGCCTTCGCATTTCTGCATCTTCAACTCCCAGAGATTCCCCTCTGCCTCATTCTCCAGCTACCTCTGAATGGCGGCACAACCATCCGTTGGCTTAGGTTCTCTTCCAGGTCTTGCATCATCTGACAACTTGCTGAGGCAGCACGGTGTACTACCACCCACGTCACTTGATGAGGATGTTGAACAGTGTTGGCCCCATGGATGCCAGTCCTGGGCTACGCCATTTGAGACTTGCCTGCATCTGGACTTTGGGACACTCATCACAAGCTGCTGGACCCAGCCCTTCAGCCACTTACACAACCCATACTTTCCTGGCTTGTCTAGGAATGGGCAAGGGCAGAAATAGTCAAAGGCCTCACTAAACAGGCGAGGTAAACACCAGCCACGGCGCCCTCCTCGTCCACAAAGTGAGTCACTTCAATATAGAGGACACAGATGCCGGATAAGCATGATTTCCCCTTTGTAAATCCACACTGACAGCTCTGCATCAGCTTCTTGTCCTTCCTGGGACTGGCACTGCTTTCTGGGAGGATTTTCAAGATCACTTGCCACAGGAGCAAGGCCAGCCTCACCAGCTTCTACCTTCCCGAATCTTCCTTTCCAATCTGCTTCAATACATGAGCCCTATAACCTCTCCTCCAGCCATCAGGAACTACTCCCAGGCACCATCACATTTCCAAGCTACTTGGTGTGCTCTCTCAAGGACTCCAGCCAGCTCCCGCAGCATTCATTGCTGTGACACCTCAAGCCCCCAGGACATACGTCCATCCTGTCACAAAGCAGTCCTTCCTGCCAAGATTCATCTCCCTCATACACAAAGACCGTTTGAACACAAAATCCTGCAAAACACTCTCCTGGACTCAGCTGGGAAACACCTTGCCATTCCTCTAGACCTTCACCACGCGTCCACCACCACCAGGGCCTCGGCTCTGCAGCCGCGTGCTGCATGCTTGCCTCCAACTCCCCTTGGAAATCTCCAAACTCTCTTTCCATTGGACACTGCAAAGAGAAATGGCCTCAGCCTTCGGCACTCATCCCAAGGAAAGTCCCCAAAGGCCCTGGCTCACCAGCCGCCCCTTCCTGCTTCTCCCACTCCCCCTCTGCCTCTCACCACACTCATGGGCTCTCCAGAAACTCCCTTGCACTTTCAGGCTGTCCCTTGTGCAATCACAGAACACTTTATTTTGGAAAAGACATTTAACATAATCAAGTCCAACAGTTAACTTCACACTACTAGTCCGCCACTAAACCATGTCTCTGAGCGCCACATCTAAATGTCTATTAAATCCCTCCTGGGATGGGGACTCCACCATTTCCCTGCGCAAGTTTCTCCACAGCTTGATAACTCTCTGGGTGCACATATTGTTCCTCATGTCCAATCCAAAGCTCCCCGGGCACAATTGGAGGCTGTTTCCTCCTCTATCACTCATTACTAATAATAAGAGACTGACACGCACCTCCGTACAACCTTCATTCAAGTAGCTGTACACAGCAATAACGTCTCCCCTCCGTCTTCCTTTTATGGAAACAAACTACCCAAAGTTCCTTCAAGCATTCCCCCTTTATTCTTCTTTTATAGTCCATTCAGCAGCTTCACTGCTCTAATTTGGATGCATCACGCCAAGGCCCACACTGTAAATTTCCCAGCCCCGGCTCGGGGGAGTACTCCGGCGGGGCCAACCCAAGCCTTTGGGGAGCAGGGCAGGCCTCCCCACAGCACAGGGCTTGCCAGCTCTGAACCAGGGCTGCCAGGCCAACGGCCTGCTCTCGCAAACAGCCCTCCTCTGCCTGCTGGCACTGCCACCCCCAGGGACGGCCCCAAGGGGCTGCAAGCCCAAACAGGCAGCCGCCTTTCTCCCAGCCACAGCCTTACAAGCCAGCCGCCTTTCTCCCAGCCACAGCCTTACAAGCCAGAGGGGCAACAAGACACACACAGAGCAGCTGACAGGAAAGGCCGGGTCTAAAGAGAGGCTTAGCGAGCTGGCAGTGAGGAGGGGAGGGACTGAACGCCATGGCAGGGTCAATGCCTTGTGCCTGACAAAAATGCAAAGACCAGACCAGTTTGCCAGGGCTGTGAGGAACTGGAGACCCCATTACACAACATGCCGCAAACCACAAC